TCTCAAAGGTGGGGGGAAATGGTAAAGGAGATGGAGGAGGGAGAAGGTGGGGGAGATGGGGTGGGAGGGAAGGAAGGGAGCAAAGAATCAAATAACTTGAAAAAATAAATAAAAACAATCTAGTTTGAAGGTGGAGTAAGAAAGAATGGAGATAAATAACAGAGCCAGCAACTCAGGAGAAAAAACGAAATTTCCCCACATACATGTAACATGAGCTCCAAAAGAAGAAGAAGGGAGCCGGGCGGGCGGTGGTGGCACACGCCTTTAATCCCAGCACTTGGAAGGCAGAGGCAGGTGGATCTCTGTGAGTTCGAGGCCGACCTGGGCTACAGAGTGAGTTCCAGGACAGGCACCAAAACTACACAGAAAAACCCTGTCTCGAAAAACCAAAAAGAAAAAAAAAAAAAGAAGGAGGAGGAGGAGGAGGAGGAGGGAATGAAGACATACTAACTGAAATATCTTCCAAATTTGATGAAGAACTTTACACTATAGACCCAAGAAGCTCAACCAACATCAACTTTTAAAGAGAGAACACCAAAGAACCAGGCATAGTGGTGAGCATTTGTGACCCTGGCAGGCAGAGATGTTAAGTTCAAGGCCAGCTTGTCCTACACAAGACACCATTTCAAAACAAAAACAAAACATACAGAGAACCTCTCACACACATGCATCATAGTCAGTGACATGGCTGAAGTCTACTGTCAGCAAGGAAAATTTTGAAAAGCAGCAGGAAAGGACTCATTCCATTTAGAGGAATTATAATAGGATTGATGATTTTTTTTTTTTTTTTTATCAGAAAGTACCTCAGTAACACCAAGAGTGCCATGACCTTACACAGCCTTAGAGACTGATCTAGCTGGGGTGATGGGAAATGAAAAAATGACACACATACAGAAAAGTTTGCATCTCATGAGCAATGTACTCTGATGGAGTTGTACCGAGAGGAGCTCGAAGACTCAGCTCATTAACCTTATACATCTGCATCCAGGAGGAGTCGGGGGTATTGCACACAGCTAAGCAAGGATGTGGGTTTAGCTAGATCTCTGTAGGGGAGCAATCTAAGGCTGTAAACATCTGGGAGGAGGAAGTTGCCAACCTCATTTTCTACACAGTCAGCACACACACACACACACACACACACACACACACACACACACACACCAGGGGAAGGCCATTCCCATGCATCCAAGGCACTGGAGACTGGGTCCTTGACATGGCCTTGCGTATATAAACAACACACATTCATTCAGGACTGCGTCTGCTCTTACACATTCACTCAGGGCTTCCTCTACTTCCCACACAAAAGACAATGGAATAATATTTTTTTAAGGGGGAGGGTGTTGGAGATTTGGTTCAGTGGTAGAGCACTTGGAAAAGCAGAGGAGGAATTGTGGGAGCCAGAGGGGTCAGGGATACTGGGAGAGCATGGCCTGTGGAATCAACTAAGCAGGGCTCATGGGGCTCACTGAGACTGAAGCGGCAATCTTGGAGCCTGCATGGATTTATGCTAGGTCCTCTGCATATATGTTATGGTTGTTGACTTGGTATTTTTGTGGTACTCCCAACAGTGGGAGTGGGGAGTGTCTCTGACTCTTTTGCCTACTCTTAGGACCCCTTTCCTCCTACTGGGTTCCCTTGCCCAGCCTTGATGTGAAGGTTTGTGCCTGGTTTTATGGTATCCCGTGCCGAGTTTGGTTGATGTCCTTGGGAGGCCTGCTCTTTTCTGTCAGCATAGGCTTGGAATCACTCTACTCTGCAAGATTAGATGAAGGTATAAAAATGTTAGCACATCAGGGAACTAAAGAAAACAAACAGGAAGCTCCTAGTACCTTGCCTGACTTGGCAGGGTAGAAAGAAGCCATATGAGAGCTAGGGATGTGGCTCAGTTGGTAAGGTACTGGCCATGCAGGCATGAGCTCCTGAGTTTGAGCCTCAGCAGCCATGTAAAAGCCAGTCATAGCGCATGTGTCTGTAACCCTAGGACTGGAGAGTGAAACGTGGATCTTGGGCACTTGCTGGCCAGACAGCCTAGCCAAAATTGTGAATTCCAGGTTCAAAGGCAGACCCTATCTCCAAAAACCAGAAAAGGATACCTTAAACTTATGAGTACGGAAAGTAACAGTGTGGGGTGATGCCTGAGTCTGAGTCTTCACTGCTCATGTGAGATGAATTTTTGATCTGGTAAAGGTTGCCGTATCTGAATTTTCTCAGGGACCTGCCCTGAAAAGATTTCTCTCAGGGTCCTGGGGAAGATGCTATGGCCATCATGGAGTATTCTGAGGGGAAAGAATCTATGTACACCATGCTCTTTTGTCTGTTTACTTTATTTCTCTAAGATAAAATTCTATCTATACAGCTTCAGTTTTATCCTGACACTCAGTTCCTCTCTGTCCCTTCCTTTTCTGTCCTCTCATAGCCCTAGTCATAACTAAGTTCTTATGTTCTCAACCTCATCTTCATCCTCCATTCCTCTGTCCTCCATCTTTCCTTCCTCTTCTGATCTGACCCAATCCCTACTCATCCAAAAACTCTGCCCTGTTCTCCCTTCTCCAGCCCAGGAATTCTGTCCCAGCTTTCCTTTCACCTGGTTATGCAAAAAGTCCTTTAGTCCTGAGTCAATAGCTCTGGAATGCCACTAGACCTGAAGGGAAGGGATGGTTTGAGCTTCATTTGCACAAGGAACAAAGCTATGTATCTACATACCCACATGTCTCCTAGTCTTAGAGGCAGGCATTGTCTCTGTAGGGGTGTTACCTAGTTCAGATCAGCAGTAGGTCTGAGAAGCTTATACTGTTTGCCATTATGGCCTAGGAATTATGGGCACCCAAGAAATTGATAGTAGGAAACAGCTGATGTATTAAACACCAATCTTCCCTGATATTTGACTTTCCTCTAGAATAATTCCTTGACCGTTCTAGGTATAGCTTTATCAGATATAGCTGAATCTCTATTTCATATACTTGTGGCCCACAGCTTTGCCCCAAAGGTGATCTGCCTATTTTGCAAGATGCCCCAGCCCTATTGAGAGAGAGAGAGGAGAGGAAAGAGAGAGAAAAAAAGAGAGGGGGAGAGAAAGGAGGGAAGGATATATATATATATATATATATATATATATATATATATATATATATAGAGAGAGAGAGAGAGAGAGAGAGAGAGAGAGAGAGAGAGAGGGGGACAGAGAGAGAGAGAGACAGAGAGAGAGAGAGAGAGCAGGAGGGAACCAACATTGACCTCTGGCCATTGTTCACCCATGTAAATGCATTATGCACAGAAAGGGAGGGGGAGGGGAGTGGAGAGGGAGAGATGAGAGAGAGAGAGACTGTTAATGAATGAATAAATATGAGGAAGCTAGATTGCTTGGTGAAAACATTCATTTCCCAAAGACAGTCAATGAAGCCTAGAATGGGTGACTAGAAAACTTAACATGACAAAGAAACATGACAGCCCCAAAGAATAGAATAACATTCACACAAAAGCCATTCCAAAGAAATGGAGAGTTATCAATTACCAGAACACAATTCCAAATAACTGCTTTAAGGAAGCACAGTAAGCTTCATAGACTGATGAAGAAATCAGATAATCAATTTAAGAACAAACCAGGAAGTCCAGCAATAAGAAACCCAATGGGAAGAGGCCCCATGCCTGAGTCATCAGCCCCCGTGCCCCTGGCAGTGAAGTCCATGGCATGGGTCAGGCGTGTGTCATAGCTCCAATCTTTTTTTTTTTTTTTTTTTCCCTGAGACAGGGTTTCACTATGTAGTCCTGGCTGTCTTGGAACTCACTCTCTAGACCAGACTCACTCTCAAACTCAGAGATCTGCCTTCCTCTGCCTCTCAAGTGCTGGGAATAAAGGGTGAGCTGCCACCACCTGGCAGCTCTAATCTTAGGAACAAAATGAGAGCAATAGCCACGGTTAAACCATCTGCTTCACTAAAAGTGAGGAAATAAAAAAAATTCGAGAAGGGTCTGCATGAGACACGGAGAAATTTCCTTTGTCCTGGTTAAAAGACCAGGGAGAGGCATATCCCTGTCAGCACTCTGACAGTCACAGAGACATGGTAATGTAGAAAGAAAAAGTTAGAACAGGATTCACTACCATGTTGAGCTTTACTCCTGGTTCTGAAGTTTAAGCAGTTGAGAATTGCTTGTTCATTATGTATCATGACCATGAAAAGTGAGTCTCCACGCTTGTGTCAAGAATCTTTCTCCCATCCTGTGTTCTTTCAGTCACCACCAAGTTCCCAAGGAAAAATAACACTTTCTTCAGAACAAATCTTAGTTAACACTCATAACTTTGATAAACGGAATAAAAGCACGTCATGTCTGAGTTTTAGTAACGTATCTTCCCAGTTTGCCGGGCATGGCATTGTGCTTGCACTGGCACATCTCTAGACGCACCACCAGCTTGTATACATTGTAAAGTATCTTTTGTCCATTGTCTATGGTTTTTCCGTACTAATTTGTAAAAGTTGGGCCTGGAGAAATGGCTCAGCAGTTAAGAGTACCGCTTGCTCTTCCAGAGGATCTGGGTTTGATTTCCAGCACCCCACATGGCAGCTCACAACTGTCTGTAACTCCAGTTCCAGAGAATCAGACTTTCTCTTAGACATGCACGCAGGCAAAACACCCATACACACAAAATAAATTGCATTAAATTTGAAAAAATAAGTAAAAAAAAATGTGTAAGGGCTTTATAATGTAATTGACATTCATTGTACAGCTACCACAGTTTCCTGATTTGTTACCTTTCCAGCTTTTAAATTCAATACACTTGTGTGTTTGCACATGGGTGTGTGTGCCATGGTGTGCATGTAGAGGTGAGAGGGCAGCTTGTGGGAGTGGGTCTTCTTCCACCAACATTAGACTTGGGTCATCCAGCTCAGCGGCAAGTACCCTTACTCACTGGGCCATTCACCTGCCCCCTTTTCATCTTTGTGACATAAAAAATGATTATGTTATAAACTTTCTTCTCTCTAATTGTCTCCTTTGCATCTATGCCTCTAAAGGCTTTTACACTGAACTCAATATTTCCCTGTCCTCCACTTCTCCCACACCATTTCTTTTTAACGCAGCCTCAGGGCCAGCCGTCTTCTCTGCATCCCTAAATTACCTGACATACAATAATACTACAGTGATGTAAAAGCTTTTCACATAAAAAGAGTTGATCCTTGTTGGTGCGGCTCATAACTTGCAATCAATTTTGCTTCTGGAGGGGATGGTTTTTTTGAGGCAGGATCTCATGTAGCCTAAGCTGGCCTTTCATTCCCTAGGTTGGTGAGGATGACCTGGACCACTAGATTCTCTGCTTTCCACCTCCCAAGTGCTAGGATTGTAGGCATGCAATGTACCACCACCATGATGGGCTCAAACTACATAGAATGGAAAGACTTTTCATTCATGCAAAACAGCCGGGCATGTTGGTGTATCCTTGTGATTACAGTGCTAGGAAGATAGGCAGATCTGTAGAGCTCACTAGCCAGCCAGCCTACCATGGTGGGCTCCAAGCCAATGAGAGGCCTTGTCTTAGAGCGAGGTGGATGGTACTCCTGAGAAGCAATACCTGGGGCTGCCCTCTGGCCTCTACACACATACCCACATGGATGCCACACACACACACACACACACACACACACACACACACACACACATATACATACACATACATACATACATGGGGCTCTATGTGTCTATATGTATTTATATGTCTTCCTCATTCAGTTACCTGACAGTTGTCCCCATCTTTTAGGTGTCCTAAAACACTGATGGCAAACTTTAAGGGCCACGCTCTCCCAGGGAGTTTCTTTCTGCTGTTTGGACTATGGTGGTCAGTGAAGTACCCACTGAAGTACTTTCATCAAAGGGGCCTGAAGAAGAACAGACTGAGCCAGCAGCAACAGCGTATTGAGATCATTGAAGGTGCAGTCAAGACTTTGTTCGCAGTCATTGGTAAGGACAGAATTTTGTCTGCGGTATCTCCTCTCACACCCAGCACCTTCAACCCATTTCCTGGATCCTGTGAAATAGATGTCTTCCTAGCAGGGATAACAGGACAAGATCTTAGGTGACTACAAGTCTGTTTTATTTTGCTACCCAATGTGTACAAAGCTTTGCACCATAGCTAATGGGCCCTTATATTATATACACTATGGAAAACTAACAAGTAAACCACAGTTTTTGCCCTACAGAAGTTGCAGGAACAGAAGAAATACTATGTGGAAAACAGAAAATACAAATAAAAATTGGGGGGGGGGGAATTGGGGGGTGGGTAATTTTTTTATTGTTTAAAATTAATTTATTTATTTATTTTTCTATTATCAGCTTGATACAGTATGTATTCTTATCTTAATAGTGAGATGTTTCATTGAGGCTTGCTCAGTAATTGAGTAAAACCGGAATTTATTATAAGTCACAGTCGTCCTAGGGACCTCCATGCTATATATATAGCCTCCATGGTTCTGTGGGTTGTAGTCTGATTGATCTTTATTTTATATCTAGAATCCACTTATGAGTGAGTACATACCATGTTTGTCTTTCTGGGTTTGGGTTACCTCACTCAGGATGATTTTTTCTAGTTCCATCCATTTGCCTGCAAATTTCATGCTTTCATTGTTTTTCTCTGCTGAGTAGTACTCCATTGTATATATGTACCACATTTTCTTCATCCATTCTTCAGTTGACGGGCATCTAGGTTGTTTCCAGGTTCTGGCTCTTACAAATAGTGCTGCTATGAACATAGTTGAGCATGTATCTTTATGGTATGAATCAGCATTCCTTGGGTATATGCCCAAGAGTGGTATGGCTGGGTCTTGAGGTAGTTCGATTCCTAATTTTCTGAGAAACCGCAATACTGATTTCCACAGTGGTTGTACAAGCTTGCATTTCCACTAACAGTGAAGGAGTGTTCCCTTTGCTCCACATCTTCTCCAACATTGACTGTCATTGGTGTTTTTGATTGTAGCCATTCTGACAGGTGTAAGGTGGTATCTCAGAGTCATTTTGATTTGCATTTCTCTGATGATTAAGGATGTTGAGCATTTCTTTAAATGTCTTTCAGCCATTTGTGATTCTTGTTTTGTGAATTCTCTGTTTAGCTCTTTAGCCCATTTTTAAATTGGATTGTTTAGTATTTTGATGTCTAGTTTCTTGAGTTCTTTATATACTGTGGAGATCAATCCTCTGTCAGATGTGGGGTTGGTGAAGATCTTTTCCCATTCTGTTGGCTGTCTTTTTGTCTTATTGACCATGTCTTTCGCCCTGCAAAAGCTTCTCAATTTCTAGAGGCCCCATTTATTAATTGTTGTGCTCAGGGTCTGTGCTGTTGGTGTTATATTTCGGAAATGGTCTCCGGTTCCAATGCGTTCAAGAGTACTTCCTACTTTCTTTTCTATTAAGTTTAGTGTAACTGGATTTATGTTGAGGTCCTTGATCCACTTGGACTTGAGTTTTGGGGTAATTTTTTAAAGCAATGAAAAGCACTAAATAGGATTTAGTTTAAAATTAAAAAAAAAATAGTCCTTTTTTAGATCTCAGAGTTAACAACCACCTCACTGGCACATCTTCCACCCACAAGCAGCAAGCATCTGCCAGGAGGGGTAATCCACAGGGAGGCCAACAAGGCAGGCAACAGAAAGGATGAAAAAGTCCTCAGAGGGCTGTGAGGGATTTGAACCCTGCCTCTTTCTCCCCAAATCCCCCACTGCTGTTCTGCAGCAGCTCTTCAGGGGACTGTCAGTGACAACAGTAGCAAGCGCTCCTCCTGGAACCACGCCTGCTGAGGGCCCTGAGGGAGCTTATTCTCAGGTGGCCTCTGCCACTTGGCCTCCGCCTACCATTGTCTGGGCATGAAGCAGTGACAGGAAGGCCCTCCTGCAAGCAGAACTTAAACACCTGCCAGATATAGCCAAGACTTCCTGCAGGCACCCACAGCTCTTTGTGAAGCTCACGAGTAAGAAGACCACACATATGTCTTGATGGTAAGGAAAGCGTCAACACTGACTTTTTTTTTAAAAAAAAAAAGAAAAACCGCTAAATTGCATTTGCCATCCTGGCTGGGTGAAAGTGACATCTGTTCAGTACCTCTAATGCTCCTGCCAGATGCCAGCACCTCGGTGTTCTGAGTACTGGGAAACAGTGGGAAGCACACATAGTCCCCACTTCACAGGGCATCCATTCTATTATCAGGGGCACTTTTCCTGGATCATTTCACAGACTTCCCGATCCCTTATAGGTGAGTGCAAATTTGAATGACTTCCAGGCGTCCCTCAAAATATTTTAGATACCGAGCATAAAGGCCAATCTGCCTTTTAAACGTGATAGAAAGTGGAAGGGACAAAAGCCATGAGTGGTACAGGCTGTAATCCCTGCACTTGACAGGCAACAAGATGGCAAATTTGGGGCTAGCCTGGGCTTAACAGTGAGATTGTCTCAAAAAGCCAAAACTAAACAAAGCAAAAAGAGAGAGTGACAAGAACCATGAGCTACCTCACTTTTGTCTCTCTAGGGCCCACGGCTGGCAACTGTGAGGCCTCACACTGCTCACCAGTGTTGCAAACAAAGGCCCAAGGAAGGTTACCCACTCTGTGACAGCCCCAACACATACCCAGGAGCAGCTTCCCTCTCTCAGGCCTGAACATTGGTCATCATTGTGGCTTCTAGTCAGTGTCCTTTCAGCCTCATTCTCTCTTGGATTTCTGCATTGCTCACCGATACATAATCCAAAGAGCACAGCATGCTTTCTTTTGGGCCACCAACCAGCTCCCAAATCACGGTGCAGAGACTTATTATTAGTTATGAATGCTCAGCCTTATCTTATGCTTGTTCACAAGTCTTATAACTTATTTTAACCTGTTTCTCTTCTTCTATGTTTTGTCTCAGGGCTTTTTACCTTTCTTTCATTCTGTATGTCCTACTCTGTGTCTGCTGGCTGGTAGCTGCCTGGCTGGCCCCTGGTGTCTCCTTCTCTCCCTCATTCTCTTCTCCCTTCTTAACTCTAGATTTCTCCTCCTACTTATTCTCTCTGCCCGACAGCCCCAGCTATCCCTCTACTGCCTAGCTATTGGCTATTCAGCTTTTCATTAGACCAGTCAGGTACCTTAGGCAGGCAAGGTGAAACAGCAACACATCTTCGCAGTTAAACAAATCTAACCCATCTTTGCCTAGTTAAAGTAATATTCCACAGCAAAAGATCAGTGTCTCAGTCACACTATCATCTAAGGGGAAAGGCTCTATTCTGTCTCTGCTGGGGAGCAGATTCCCTGGTGACCAGTATGTTCTATTTCTATCGTGGCTTCTGCCCTATCCTCAAACCCCGAAGGAACATCCAGGGACAGGTGTTTGCACAGGCTTCTCAGAAACATTTTGTATGGCAGTAGTTCCGCAGTCAGTCCGCTGACCTGTTGGCCACTGTCACCCATATCTGAACCTGGCTCACATCTTCAGGCAAGTTTTGCTATCTCTTATTTGTCTTGTTGAAACCTTCCCCATTTCCGTTTTTGCTCTTACCTCCTGGCAGGGATCCTGGCAGAGCAGTTTGTTCCTGATGGGCCTCACCTCCACCTCTACCATGAGAATCAATGGACAAAGCTAATGAATTGGCAGCACAGCACCATGTACCTGTTCTTTGGTATCTCAGGACTCATCGACATGCTCACCTACCTTTACTTCAACATTGTGCCCCTGGGGGTAGACAGAGTGGTTTTAGCTATGGCAGTATTCAATGAAGGTAAATTGGACGGAGAAAGGGAAAGAAAAATGGATAAGTTGAATTTACCAGAGATCAAAATTTAAAAGAAATATTAATGTATAATGACTTTCTCAGAAAATCAATTCTCAAGACATATTGTACGTGCATGTGGGTGTTCACTCATTCATTCAACTTCTTACAAACCAGCACCATAGCTGACCTATTACACCTACTCTGTATTGCTTGTCATGGGATCTGCAGATACATTCTTTTATAGTCTCAACAGACCCACAAAGTGAACAGTCTGCATGTGTTTGCTGCTGGTTAATGTCATGTAAACTGGCTTCCTGAAATGCTAAAGAATGTTGATTTAAGTATAGGGGAAAAAATTCCAATAATCAGGAAAAGCCAGAGTGAATCTTAAGTAGAAACAAGCAAGTTTCTGACGGCTATCATTGGTTTGCACAGGTTTTCTCTTCTATTACCACGTTCACAACCGACCTCCACTGGACCAGCACATTCACTCACTCCTGCTGTTTGCTTTGTTTGGAGCAAGTATCAGTATCTTACTGGAGGTGATCTTACGGGATAATATTGTGCTGGAGCTTTTCCGAACCAGTCTCCTTATTCTTGAGGGAACCTGGTTCTGGCAGGTGATCATCCATCCACATTCAAGCTCTTCATATGGTCTGGGTTGAGAAGCCCCCTCGGAAATGCCCAAGAAAAATGCCCAAGTGACTTGTTGCCTGAAAATACAGTAGATAAAGTGGGGGTAGGAGGTGAGGGTGTGGTGTCTGGTCCAGGTGACCTTTTTATCCCCACACCACCCCTTGACCTATGTAATTTTTCTCCACTAATAGCTTGCTGGTACACTGATGGGTACTCTGTATTTACTAAAGTACATATATAAAATGCAAGCCCTAAAGTTTAGTTATTTTTAAATCATCCTATACAACAACCAAACTTAACTTTCCTGTGTGAATAGGGCTTGTGGTATGACTCATGCAGGAATTGAGATAGTGTAGAACATACAGAGCCACTCTGTGGGCCATGGGGACGATCGTATTGCTTCCCAGACAACCAACCAGAAACTCTCTCCTCTACTCCTACAGATTGGATTTGTCCTGTTCCCCCCATTTGGAACACCAGAATGGGACCAGAAAGACATGGACAATGTCATGTTTATTACCATGTGCTTCTGCTGGCACTATTTGGTTGCCCTTTGCATCACAGCTATCAACTACTCTCTTGTTTACTGGTATGTTTGAAACAAATTTTGTCACGTTTTTTCTCCCTAACTAGACTCAAAGTGTTGGTGGTTAACTTCTACTGCTTAGTGACTGCCAATTGCATGCTAAGCTCTGCACAAAGCACTCTTCATTGTAGGGCCGTTACCACAACTCTTACTTGCCAGTGAGTGTAAGGAGGCTCCGCTACATAAAACTGCCTGACTGGTCATGCTAAACCTAGGTTTCAAGTACAGTTCGGATTTTAAGCTGGTGTATAATAGGGCAATCCTCAAGCCAGCAATCGGCCTGGGTTGAAGTCCCTGCTGTCACTGGTTTGGTGGACCCATCACGTACTTCCAGACTCGTTTTGCTTACTTCCTAAATACACAGACATCAAAATATGTCCGAGAGCAGAAAGTGCTTTCTAATTCCCTTTTAATCTAATATAGAACTATTGACTCCTTGCACTTACTGTCCCAGGCACCACGTGCTGACCCCTTTAACCCTCCTCACTTTACCATTTATTGTTCCATTTTTAACAAATGGGGAAACAAGGCTCCAAAAGGCTGAGTAATTTGACCAACTACTAAATGGAAACAAAACTGAAATTTGGCATGTTATTATGGAGACCTGTTACTGTGGAAGCTGCCCCTGACTTTTCCCCCCAGGTTTTATTTCCCTAGACTCAAAGGAGATAGACTTCACCCAGAAGAACCCCAGAGATAAAAAAAAAAAGTTTCTTCCAGCTCTATTTTCTGGTCAGTAAAATAGCTAGATGGTAAGAGGACTAAATCCACTAAATCTAGTCTCAAGAATATTTTGGTTACCATTGAGTCTTTTTCTCTACTGTGAATAGAATCCTGAGAAGGCACATGTGTAGATGTGCTATCACCATGTTTAACAGACACCTGGAAATAGGCTCTGCTGTTCTCTTACATCATGGAGTTAGTGAACAGAGGACTTTAATGGCTGATTTAATGGTTCTTATGTCTACCACAGCTTTCTGAGTCGGGTGAAGAGACACGCAGAAGGAGAAATCATTGGGATTCAGAAGCTCAAGTCTGACCACACTTACCAGTCAGCCCTTTTGAGTGGCTCGGATGAGGAGTGACATCAGGCCTTGGGGAAGTGGAGACCTCACATCCTTTGTGAATAGCTAGAGTGAATGCAGCATGTCCCCTCTGCTTTCAGGCTTGGTTTAGCGTGCTCTTAGCGCTCCCTATTTGCATCCTTCATCTAATACAAAGCTAGAGGCTCCGATACAGGAAAATAGACCTCAGGTGTTTTTTATGTACTATGCTATTTGGATATTTAAGTATAATTGAACTTACAAAGTCTGTATTAGAGTAATACCATTCATACAGAAAAATGAACACCTTTCAGTAGCAAGCCTGTTCTTGTAGAGGAATTGCTGTAAGACTCTGAACACCTCCAACAGGAAGGACGTGACTGTGTGGATGAAGTGAACTGTGACTCTGACAGGACATTACATGCTGCTTCGGATAATTTGCCCCTCTTCTCTCAATCACACAGGTCCTTTCTTCTCAGAAATGTGTCAGGACGTAGGGAATGACAGACAGTGCCTTCAATTCAGAGTCAAATTCTAACATGTTTTTAAATAATAAAGAAACTCACGAGCTTTTATTGGTGAAATTATTAAGGCAACTCCACGATAACTTCAGCTGCAAGCTTTGGTATTTGAAGTGTTAACATTTAAAATATTTTCTAGTAAGTCATACCAGAGTACTGCATTTTGGCTTTGATTAGAGATAAAATTAGGTGAAAGAGAATTTTCTTATATTAAGTAGCTAGTTCATAGTTCATAGCTCAGCTGAGAGCTGAAACTCCATCTGATTCCTCAACATTATGCCATTGAGGGACATTATATAGCAAGTCTGTACCCCCTAGATAGAGGGGGGAAATCAGTTTATCGAAGGCCTTCAATTTTAAAACAGCTAAAACCAAAAGGTAAGGATTTTGAATTCTTAATATAGACTTGATGTTGTGCTATTGATTCTGGAGGTTTTGTTTTGTGTGGTTTATTTTTTATAACTTTCCTCAACAAGTATTTATTAAACATCCTAGCACTGAAATGTTTGCAAGGATTAATGAGATGTCCATCAAGGAACTGACAGTATAATGTAAGAGAGAACTCCTGAGGCTATTGTTAGGCAGTGTGATGGGCACTCTTAAGAAGTGCAGGGGCTGGGGCTGAGAAATGGCTCAGAGGTTAAGAGCACTGGCTGTTCTTCCAGAGGACCTGAGTTCAATTCCCAGCAACCACATGGTGGCTCTCAACCATCTGTAATGAAATCTGGTGCCCTCTTCCGGCCTGCAGGGATATATGCAGGCAGAACTCTGTATGCATAATGAATAAATCACACACACACAAAATAAAAGTTCAGGGGCAGGCTGGGTGGTGGTTGTGGCATCACATGCCTTTAACCTCAACACTTGGGAGGCAGAGACAGCTGGTCAAGGCCAGCCTGGTCTACAAATTGAGTACCAGGACAACCAGGAGCTACACAGAGAAACCCTGTCTCAATAAATAAATAAATAAATAAATAAATAAACAAACAGAACAGCAAACAAACAAACAAAAGTACAGGGGCTGGAGAGATGGCTCAGCATTTAAGAGCACTTACTGCTTTTCCAGAGGACCCAGGATTGGTTTTAAGCACCCACATGGCAGCTCACCACCATCTAGAACTCCAGTTCCAGGGGATCTGTTATTCTCTTCTGACCTCCAGGGGCATCAGACACACATGTGGGGCACATACATACATGCAGGCAAAACACCCACACACATAAAATTCAAATAAATTAACCTTAAAAAAAAAAAGGACTACACACAAACCACAGAGGAAGGAGCGGAGGAGAAATGGCGAGTTGGACCTTTAGAAAAGGTCCACCAGGCCTAGAAAATAGTATATACAGAGCCACAACACAACATGGGGGACTAAACATACACATTAGTTCCTGTGTCAAAAGGGGCTTCTGTGCTGACTGAAGTTGAAGGGTCTTCAAGAGCAAGTAACAGCCTTCACTGTGCAGCATCCTGTGATGCTGGGATGCACTCCATCTCAGCAGAGCCTCACAACCCTCTGTAATTTAAGCATGCGATGTCCTCCTGAGGTTGGTCAGCATAAGGACAAATAGCTACAAACTGGCAAAACCCATCAACACTATGACTTGAAAGTCTGTTGTCTTTCTCACATTCCATACCCCGTCCCCTCATAAACAACCAACAGAGGTACTTTACAGAAAGTTCTTCAGGTTAGCTAGCTGGGCTGCAGAAAGTCTCATGTAGGATCAAGAATAACTTGAAAACATTAAGTATGAGAGAACTCTTGGGCTCCCTTTTCAAGGGTCCTCTTGGTTTGACAGCTGAGCAAGAACCCAACTCATTCATCAGATATTTAAAGACCCATTCACCAGTAACAATACAAAATTGGTTCTTTCCTCAGGTCCAGGTTGGAAAAGGAACTTATTTCCTGTTTTATTTTCATAGAAAAAGATGTACTTGAGACTTTTTATATTGGCAGAACAAAGAAACAGTATTCTTGAGGGACTGTCATACAATTAAATATAAAATATTAAAATTTATTTTTGTAATTAGAACAACTCCAGCCAAGCACTCAGCCAAAATCCTGGAGTTCAGCAGAAGAGGGAGGAGGGATTATAAGAGCAAGGGGGTTCAGAATCATGATGGGAAAAACCACAGGAATAGCTGACCCAAGCTAGTGGGAGCTCATGGACTCTGAACTGACAGCTGGGGAACCTGCATGGGACCAAACTAGGCCCTCTGAATGTGGGTGAAAGTTGCATGGCTTGATGTGTTTGTGGGTCCCCTGGCAATGGAACCAAGATTTGTCCTGGGTACACGAACTGGCTTCTTAGAGCCCATTCCCTATGGTGCGATGCCTTACTCAGCCTTGATGCAGGTGAGAGGGGCTAGGTCTGGCCCTAACTTGGTATGCCAGCCTATGTTGACTACTAAGGGAGGCCTTACCCTCTCTGAGGAGGGAATGGGGGTGGGCTGAGGGTAGGTGTGGGGTAGCAGAAGAGGAAGGAGAGGGAACAGGGGTTGGTATGTAAAAGAAAAAAATTTTTAAATAAAAAATTTTAAAAAATTATTTTTGTATCTTGTGGTAGCCCACAAAAGCTTCCTGGTGAGATCTGCACTTGCTTGACACAGCAGGGCTGCATTAGGGAATGGCTTGACCACGTGCACGGTCACCAGGTGGCTGGGATGGTTTGCTCTTGGCTGTGCTGAGGGGAGGTCTTTTGCTCCACCACTTGGCATTCCTTTAAAAGCCCTTTAGAAGAGACAGAAGGGGCTGGTGGGTTTTGACCCAGGCCCTCCTGAAGCTATCCTATGTTTCTAACTGTCTCTCTCTAAATTTCTATCTACAGACTTCTCACTTCTCCCTCCTCAAGAGTACCCTGCAGGAAAAAGAGGGAGCTGGTTTCACTCAAATGGTGCCTGAACAGGGACCAGGGACTTGGTGAAAGGAGGGTTAGAGGGCCCCGTGGGAAGTTAGGACATGTCCGGTTATGGAAATTAAAGCAGGGGTAATCTATTTTCGAGAGTGAAAGGGGCTGAAAGATGCCCAAGTGAGGCTGCAGCGTATATTTCTCTCTATCAAGGTTTTTCTTTTTTTTCTCTCTCTCTTAAAATTCTATCTATAAAAATTAAGGAAAAAAAGTAAGGTAGAATTTAAGAATATAGTGTAAAAGAAAAAATTTAGAGAAAGGTAGATTAAGAATACTGGGTAAGAAAATAAGATAAGCAACAAGATGGAAGAACTATGTCCTTGATTTTCCAACTATGGAGCTATGAACGCAAAATCCTGGGGAGCATCAGAAAAATCTATTGAAGAGGAGAAAAAATGGACAGAAAAAAAGATTCCTATGGAAGCTTTTGGCCTGTGGACAGTTTAAGTCCCAAACAGCAGAGGAAAGAAATTTTCCCTGAGGTGAATGTAGATGAAATAAAATTTTCACTCTGCTGACACTGCCATGGTATAGAAACACCGTACCATCAGAATTAGTTTCCTCTTGACCATGAAGTCAAAAGTTTAGAGAAGAGAAGTCTTGAGAAAACTTGGTAGTCTTTCTCTCTCAAAAACTCAAAGCTTTCTTGGGAAATACTTAATCTCTCTTTAAAAAAACTAAAAAGCCTTTCAGGTCTTTGCTTCTCAGATTTTCTCTTTCTGTAAAGACAAAATTAGATTCACCCGTTAATGACATCTATGGAAAAATCACCTGTGGATTGCTCTAACATGGAAAATTCTCTGTTAGCACTGTCTCTTTCAAGCTAATATTAGAAAAACAGCAGATACTTCAGACCCTAGCCAGAAATCCCCCTGCAGCTAGAACCTAGCCATAGACGCTCAGGAAAGTGCAGGCGGAGGAATCAGTAAAGCCGAGCTGCCGTGGTGGCATCAGGGGCTTTAATCAGTAAAGCCGAGCTGCAGTGGTGGCATCAGGGGCTTTAATCAGTAAAGCCAAGCTGCAGTGGTGGCATCAGGGGCTTTAATCAGTAAAGCCGAGCTGCAGTGGTGGCATCAGGGGCTTTAATCAATAAAGCCGAGTTGCAGTGGTGGCATCAGGGGCTTTGTAGCTGGGGAAGGAGATAAGCTATGACAAAACCAAGAACTATCTGGGAGAAAAGCTCTCTTTTCTAGCAGGGAAGACTTCTCTGAAAAAGCTTAGTTTCAAGTGTTTTTGTTTTCCCTCACTGACCTGGTGAGGAGAGGGAGTGAAGACCTGAAGGGTTTTTGCCTCTGGCAATAAGTGCTGTCTGAGTGTGTGCAGGCAGACAGAGCAATCTGCTTGGGGACAGGGTCAGGTGAAAGGTACGTTTAGGAAAGTACACCTGTCCTAATGTAAGCTTAGGGAAAACAAAAACCTCCCTTGATTAAAAAAAAAAAAAAAAAAAGCAGAATCTTGATTTCAGTATGAACATAAACCACACAGACTGTGTAAACAGAAATGAGAAGTGTGGCATACCTGAAAGGCAACCTGGGAAATGTAGTTCAAAAGGCAGTCTGGGAAACGTAGTACAACTATATATTGTTTGCTCTTGAATATGTTTGTAATAAGTATAAATAAGTATGCTTGTAAAGAGTTGTAAATATGCCAGGCGGTGGTGGTGCATGCATTTAATTCCAGCACTCAGGAGGCAGAGCCAGGCGGATCTCTGTGAGTTCGAGGCCAGACTGGTCTACAGAGCAAGATCCAGGACAGGCACCAAAACTACACAGAAAAACCCTGTCTCGAAAACCACCCCACCCCCCCAAATACAAACAAACAAACAAACAAAAGAGTTGTAAATATGTATAGTGATGTAAGTTTGTAAGAAGTGTAAATACATATAGTAAATAGTCATGCTAGTTGTAAATATGTAATGTTTATACTAGAATTGTTGATGCTAATGAACCAGTTTGTTAAAAGCTAAAGGAACATTTAAATTTGATGTAATTTATATGATGTGGTTTGCAACAAGAGTTTATTGATTTAAAAAGGGCCTGGCACTGTTATAGCCATCTCAAGACCCATTCAAAAAAGAAATGCCATCTTTATCATCTTCTACTCCTGTACTAGGAGGTGTGGCAGCTATGGAGATGAGGTTGTAAGCTCAATAGGAACTTGGGCCAGAGCTAAGTTAAGCTCAGTACCCCCTCCTACCAGAGGCTGAGAGTCAGGGATGAGCAACATTCTTCTTTCCAGCTTCCCAACCTAAGCCAGAGGGCACTTGATATAAAGTGTATCTTCAAGACAGGTAAGGGTTGTCTGGCTGAAGGGGGTGACTTAAGGCAGATATGTTTCTAACTGTCTCTCTTCTCTATATTTCTATCTACAGACTTCTCACTTCTCCCTCCTCAAGAGTACCCTGGGGGAAAAAAGAGGGAGCTGGTCTCCCTCAGTATCTCTAACCAGTGGTTTGGGGTACCTTTATTGAAAGATCAGCCCTGGCAAAACATTCTTAAACAGTGTTAAAGTACAAGCCATGGGGCTGGAGAGCACCTCCTGTTCTTCCAGATGACCAGAGCTCAGTTCCCAGCTCCCACATCTGAATGACTTCTGACTTCCACCAGCCCCTGCACATACATGACACATACTCACAAAAATACAGATACACACAGGTATCTTAAAGTACAAGTCAATCAGAATGCTTTTCACTAAATCCTGTCTTGGATACATGGTCTGAGTAATTTTACCAGTCTGTCCACCAGAAGCTGAGGATCAATGATGCCACTGTATTGTAAGAGCTATTCCCTGCAAAATATCCACCACAGCTGCCCTACTGCCTACCTGGAACCCCTTGAGGTCTACGTATGAAGAAAGCACACACGTTAAAATACTGGCGCTTATGAATGATGACAAAAAGGCCTAGAATGAACTAAATATAATTGGTAATTAGTTTAACTAAATGATTTTAACTCATTAGATTATAGTTATCTATCATAATTACCAAGATGACATCTGTGGCTGTTAATATTACACTGGCATTCATTTTCTCTCTCCAAGGGACAGTTATATTTTGATCCCAACTAGTATCTACACTCCTATGCCTAGAGGGCAAAATACTTGCACTATTCATTATAGCCACAATTACACCCCTTAACTCGCACTCAATAATAATGTACTCAATTCCTATCACTATTCTAGTTTCTGCAGCATGTGAAGCGGCTGTAGGACTAACCCTATTAGTCAAGGGATCAAATACATACAGCACAGACTATGTACAAAATCTCAACCTATTACAATGCTAAAAAGTATTCTCCCTTCCCTATTACTTCTCTCATTTGACTCTCAAACAATAAAAATGTATGAATTAATGTGACCTCTCATAGCTTCCTAGTCAGCTTACTCTCTATAATCTTCCTATGACGAAGCGATATAAATGACCTAAATTTTTCATTACTATTTCCCATTGATTCACTGTCTTCCCCGCTAGTTATTCTCAAAACATGGCTTCTACCTCTAATACTCCTGGCCAGCCAAAACCACACCAAAAAGGAAACAGAACTAAATAAAGAAACTTATATTTCCATACTGGTATCTCTACAAATTTTACTAATTATAACATTCTCTTGCAAACGAATTAATTATATATCTTATTTGAAGCTACCTTAGTCCCAACACTTACCCAATGAGGTAATCAAACAGAATGAAGAAATGCTGGACTTCATTTCACACACTAGCTGGACCCAGCCCATTCCTCACTGCCCTTATCTTCATTCAAAACTCAACAGGAACATTAAACTCTCTTCTCCTCCCCTTAACTTTACCTCACTCAGCCAGACACGATCTGATATTTTATGACTTGCCAGTATAATAGCATTTCTCATTAAAATACCACTATAGGGAGTCCACTTATGACTTCCTAAAGCACATGTAGAGGCCCCAATTGCTGGATCAATAGTTTTAGTAGCTATTCTACTAAAACTAGGAGGCTATGGTATAATACGAATTTCTGTAATCCTAGACCCTAATTATAAACAAATCCACAGTTGAACTATAATCACAACCCTAAGTTTAAAAACAGTATTCCCACTAATAACCATCTGATGAATCCTAGCTAGTCTGGCAAACCTAGCCTTACCACCCTCAATTAACCTAACTGGAGAGCTATTAATTATAGTATCATTATTCTCCTGATCTAATTCCTCAATTATACTACTAGGCACTAATTCTTTTTTGTTGTTGTTGTTGTTGTTGTTGTTTTTGTTTGTTTGAGACAGGGTTTCTCTATAGTTTTGGTGCCTGTCCTGGATCTAGCTCTGTAGCCCAGTCTGGCCTCAAAATCACAGAGATCCGCCTGGCTCTGCCTCCTGAGTGCTGGAATTAAAGGTGAGCGCCACCACTGCCCCGCCAGGCACTAATTCTAATTACCGCTCTTGCTGTAGCCAACTCCAGTAGGAGGTCTCTTATCTATACTATTCTAACAACACATTAGGAAGTACCGAAACTAAACTCTCTAGGGAGTCAACCCTATAAACTGGCATCATGAAATAAGCCTGAATTTTATTTTTTATTTATTTATTTTTTTTTTTTTTGGTTTTTCGAGACAGGGTTTCTCTGTGCAGCTTTGTGCCTTTCCTGGGACTCACTTGGTAGCCCAGGCTGGCCTCGAACTCACAGAGATCCGCCTGGCTCTGCCTCCCGAGTGCTGGGATTAAAGGCGTGCGCCACCACCGCCCGGCAAGCCTGAATTTTAAATCTATGCTCTCTGGGATATACATATCCAATATATCTGCATGTACTAATCAGATGGGCAATCAGGTAACTTCAGTATATAAAAGTTTGGAATAGCTCTGACGCTAAATGCAAGAGTTACTTTTATGGACTTTGCTACATAAAATCAGAAGAGGTTTTAGCCAACAGTAAATATCTGAGAGACAGTATCTCCTACCATCTCTTGTTGTCCAGAAACTATCACATCATTTTCTGTTTGAAACATGATATCCAAAAATATAAAACACACGGGTAATTTTTATTCCCCTCCCTATAGTCCTCTCACTTGTCACCATTTCAGTCAATTCCCATGCCAGTCCTCCAGGCACCTACCGAGACTGTGATTTCATTTCATCCTGTCTCCTGTGGTTTGAGAGACAGGCTTCCCACCAAACTCTAATTACTCTTACGTTTCACCAGGAAACATCCCAGTGAGTCTTCCTTAAGAGTACAGCACACAGGGGATCTGACGAGGGAGGACTTAACTTTTCTAATGTAGCACCCAGGTGGGCCTCTAGCCAGCTGAAGTGAGCCAAGCATGAGTCTGAAGTTCTAATCCTCCAGCTTCTACTCTAGAGAAGAGATTATGTTACAGGCTTATGTGACTCTACCATCCCACTCAGGAGTGCTGGGGGTCCAGCCTGGGCCTCTAGTATGCTCGCTGGTGCTCTCTCCCCACTAAGTTACAGCTCCAGCACTGGGACCTGCCTCAGGATTCCAAGACCAAGTGCTCTTCTTCGTTTTCTCTCAGACTTGTATCTTCTCACTGTTAACGAGGGCTGACAATTCTAATGGACAAAACTGCTGTAAGAATCAAGGGCACCTGTAAAGCCACTCTGCAGCCCCAACCACTCTAATCCTTTTCTGTTTCTCAGCAGCTTGCTAAGTAACCCAGTTCCAACCTAACTACCACTTAAACCAGGCCATTTCTTGTCTTTGTGGCCCTAGCTCTAATTCCGCATAAAAGAAAACAATTAAAGGTGCAGAGATGAAAGATACATTTTTAATAATTTGGATACTTTCACAAAGAGACAGGGAAGCCCTGTCCCTACAGAAAGGCTTTCCCACCTGCCCCTGCACCACAGCAGGACATGTAAGATGTGACCAGTACACTAAGTACGTAGGACTTTAAAAAGTATCCCACTGAGCTGTCTGTGGCTGGTGGTGACTGAGAAGTGTGAAATGGCCAGGAATAAAAACGGCAAACTCAGACTGACTTCTTCTGAAGCGGGCACTGCCAGGTAGTGCCTAGCGCTGTCCCCACCTCCACTATTTCTTCTGTTTTCCAGTCAAGCGACCAGCTTCAAAGGTCTGGTTTGCAACTGCTGTTGTACAGCAGATAGAATGTGCAATCTCTGGCTGTAAGCAAGTGCACTCTGAGAGCAGCATTTCGGCCAGCATCCCCTACTCCCTTGTCCAACAGCTCTGAACTTCCACGTGAACAGGCTTGTCAAGGACAATGCCCACAAATGAAGATACAGGGACACCCAAGATCCCGACACTCATCTGTAGTAAGTGGTGCCAAACTAGTCTCCCTTGAGCTCATGGCCTACGTTTCCCTACTATGTAACTCCTCATTATCAAGTAAGCCACCAACCTGGTCAGAGTCCTGTTATGCTCTCATTCCGGCAAAAGGAGTAAGGGATCAGTTTAGGGGCACTAAAGCCCAGGCTTCTATTTGATAAAAGATGCACAGTAAGTTCTTTAAAAAAATAAGTTACACAAAATTTTCTGGACACAAAACTCACATCTGGACAAGTCACCAAGAGGATCAAAAACTAAAAAGTAAAATCCTCACACAGAATGAGGCTTATTCACTGCTGGCCCGCTCACCAACTGGCAGGCCTGCTCCCTGGGCATCCAACACTCGGGAGGTAACTCCGGCCTGTGTGACTGTCACCTCCCATGACTCTGATATTCTCTCCTTCTGGACTAGACAGGGCAGCCCTGGAACCCTAAAATGGAACCTTGTCAGGGCTTCATTCTGGAGTGTGGCTGCAGAATCTAGGCCACAGTTGCCATCACCCTCCACCACCCTGCCTCAAGCAGGAGAGCTCAGAAGAATGAAGCAACCTCTCTACTCCTTTCTGTCAGCTGAGATGCACGAGGCCTGGTCTCCTCAAGCTGCCTCTGTTCTCGGTCACTGTTGTTCAGGCGCTTGTTTAGGAGATGGAGCAGTGGTCACAACAACAGTGGAGACTGCTTTGGAGGAGCCAGAAGCTGTGCCCTGCTGGAGATGGGATGCAGGAACAGTCTGGATGCGCACCTGCTTACAAAGAGAGGAGGTCTCATCAGTGAACTGCAAGAAGGCTCATCAATTAAGAAAAGCGAAGGAAACAGACAAGCCTGAGATGGTCAACAGTCTGCATGAGACCTTACCTGTGTGGCCTGACCTTGTTGCTGAAGCTGCTGCAACTGCTGGGCAGTGAGGAAACTCACCGGCTTATTGCCAGCAATGAGCTTAGTACCTGCTGGCATGGTTGTGAGGATGATGTTGCGACCCAGCCCGCTGAGACTGAGGAAGGGAAACAGAAGTAAGGCATGACCACATCACTCTGGCTCAGAATGAAGTCACATACTAAATGAAGGGCAATAAAGAGGCCTGATGCCAGCAAAAACCTCAGCATTCTGGATTCAAATGGAATCTCATACTAGGGCTACCTTTCTTCTAAACTTCTATACTTTGCATGGCAGGAGCCTCCAGAGTAGTGGACAACATGGCCTAAACTCTGTACTCTGCCCTGGAAAAGGCAGGCACTGCCAGGAAGCATGTCCCTGGCAAGAAACTCTCTCAGTTGGACACATGGGAACCAGCACTGAGAGCACTACAGAGAGTACAGGTGTGAGCCAGCCTCAGTGTAGAGGCTCACAGAGGCCATCTAGCGAGACCTCACTCGGGGTCAGAGAATCTGGGCTTGCTTTACGCAGCAGGGCTGCGTAAGGGAATGATTTGGCCATTGGCATGGTTACCAGGTGTTTGAAAGGTCTACACTTGGCTGTATGGTGTGCTTTGATCTTGTAAAGGTGGGGGTTTTTGCCTCTCCCCTTGTCATATTATAAAAAGCCCTTTTGAATAAAGGACTGGGTGACTGGGTATTGACCCAGGGCCCTCCCGAAGCTATCCTGTGTCTCTGTCTGTCTTTCTTACCATCTCTCTCTATCTGTTTACCTAATATTTCTTCATTCATCTCTCGTAAGAACCCTTCGATAGGTGGGAGCAGGGCAGAGCTGGACTCCAGCAGACTCCCCCACCTCAGCAGCCAAGTAAACTCTGTCTCTTAGGAAAGAAAAAGGCCATCCCCACAGCCCCGAACAGCTTCATCATGACTAAGAATGCCAGAATGACTGCATCTGCCTTTTATCTCTGTTTACGTCAGGGCCAGAAGAAACCAGCATTCACCAAGCTGTCTTAAGCTCAGGCTCAAATATCAAAGGAGGATCCTTTGATCCTCCAACTTCCTCCAGCCGTCCCACCCAACACTCTGCATCTTCCTCATTGCCTACCACTCAATATATTACAGTTTTATTACTCCCGCTGTATTCCTCTCCCTGCTCTACAATATAAGCTGGGCACAGAATGGCTCTTTTATGCCTTAATCGTTGCACTCAAAAATAGTACTGGGGATTCGATGTGTATTACTGATGAAAATGTCAGGCGCCAACCATCTTCCCATTCTGCAACAACTGCATTTGCTCTTCCACAACAGCACTCACTTGGCCCCAAGGTTGCCTTTGATGATGGGGGCTGTGACCACGCTCTTGCCCTTCATTGGCTGGCTAATCACAGACAGAGGAACTGTGATCCTTGTAGGCAGCTTCCCCTACAAAGAAAACAATCAGCTTTTGTGAGCTAGAAAGAGATACAGCAAACCAGGTAGTGCCTATAGAGAAGCCAGAGCAGTACAGACACCTCCAATCCCCATTCCTCCAAGGGTTCCAATATTACTGCAGGCAGAACCCAAGTAACTCCAGGAAACTTGCTCACATGTTAAGTTACATGCCACTTGTTCCACTACCTAAAGAACAGCAACTGCCTGTTTGTCACAAGGGGCTCAAGCTCCAAGTCTGCCTTAAGTCTCAGAAGACTTTGGACTTGGGACTTGGGGGAAATGGGACTTCAGACTGGGTCTCTCTATATAGCTCAGGCTGTCCCTCAATTCAGTCTTCCTGCCTCAGCTTCTCTAGTGCTAGGATTACAGAATGCACCACCCACTCAGCTAACAGATCGGAACTTTTGAACAATGCCGGAAACTGCATTTTGTGTTATGTGTGTAACTAGGAGCTTTTGGGGACAAGGGGGGCAATATTATAGTTTAAATATGAAATGTCACCCACAAGCGCATATACTGACTAATTTAGAAGATTGCAAAAACTTTTAAGAGGTGAGCCTCACTGGAGGAAATCAGGAGTGTGCTTTTGAGGTTACGCCTGACTGACTCCCTGGCGCCTGCTTCACTGACGCTTCTTCTCATGAGGTGAGCAGCCTCTGAGACAGGCCGCCATCACGATGACTTTCTGCCTCACCACTGGCCCGGAATCAACAGAGCTAGACTGGGGCGGAGACCTCTGCAACTATGACCCTGAGTTAATCTCTGCCTCGTTTACAACAGGTATTTTGTCAGAGCAATATAAAATCTAAGAGTACAAGTCTTTAAAAAAGCTTTTCATTAATTTTATGTGTTTTACCAATGTGTATGTATGTGTAGTACATGTGTGCCTCATGCTAGTGGAAGCCAGAGAGGACACTGAACCCCTTGGAATTTGAGTTATGAATCGTTAAGAGCCACTGTATGGATGCTGGGTCCTCTGCAAAAACAAATGCTCTTAACGCGAGCCATCTCTCCAACTCCTGGGTATGATTCTTATATACTGCTGGATTTGCATGAACTTCTCTATCGAGAGTCATGAAAGCTGTTGGTCTACAGCTTTGCTTTACTGCATCTGGTTCTGGTGTAATGATGATGCAGACCTCACAGATCAATTAAATAAATCCATGGCTTCTACTTTTAGAAGAAAATTGAGACTATTGTTACATTCTTTCCTTCATAAACATTTGGCAGAAGCACCAGTGCAAACTCTTTAACCAGTTACATTTCCTATAGAAAGTATTAGCTCAATTTATGAGAAATAAGTCAACTGAAATTACCCACTCCTTCTTTATGTGACTTTTCATAATTTACATCTACCATGGAAACAAACACCCCTTGCCTGAACCACAAAGTGTGTGTTCACTTAGCAGTCCCAGATTCTAAGCCTCTTGGATTGGTGAATCCTATTTGTCTGGGTATCCATAACACATGGTATAGTGCTGGACACTCAGCAACTATACGGTAAGGAAGGACAGAGAACCTCTAGAGTTAAAGAGAAAATGGACAGCACCCCAGAGGGATGCAGGCTCACAGGGGTGAGCAGCAGGACAATCTGATAAGAACAAGTCACACTTCTCCAGAGATAAGAGAGGTTAGTTAGGGGACACTAATAATAAAATCAGCCAAGTGAAAAAAATCTAACTCCAAAGTTAGTAAGGCCCAAGAAGAGAAAGAAAAGAGAGAATGTATCCATGTGGGAATGCAGAGGTCAAACATCCCACGGCACTGGAGGGAAGAAAACAGTCACTATAGCACCCACTCTTAGGTGCCTAGTTTCTGACACTTGGTTAGTGATAAAACTACCCCTCCCCCAGTATTGGGGATGAAATCTAAAGCCTCCCACATGCTAAGCAGATACTCTAGCACTGAGCCACACCTGCTGGATAATTTATAACAATGTGTAAATCTTACTTGCTTTTAAAAATACAAGAGAAGTGGTAATAGAATGCTTCAAAAAGGGAAGAGGGGATGACAAAGGACATTTCCTATGAGCAAGT